ACTTATCGCCCAATTTGCAAGAATTATTATTCTAACCTATTGTTTCTATTGATTGAGAAACTTGTTCTGCTCTTGTTATACAATAATCAAAGTTAATGGTAGGGCATTTTTTCGAATGCTAGCAGAACCCTGATTAAGTGTGATCTATGCATAGCGTAATGGTTCGCAACGCTAAAGTCACCAAAATTCCTAAGGAAAGTTTAAATGCAAATTCAGGAACATCTGGAACCACGAGAGCTCGAAGTGAAGCTTGACTATGTGCTTCGATTGAATGCTCGACTGGAAGAATCTTGACATAGGGAAATTTTTCTTCTATATTTGGTAACTGAACTGGGAATAGAACTGAATTTAGTGAACAAGTTGGCTTTTGCTTAGGAGACGGTTAAGGTTTTCCTCCCAACGACCGCATAAATATGTTTTATCACGTGGTACTTCGACGAATCGTATTGTGGGTTTTCGAAAGTCGTAAGTACCAGGCAATATTTCCGGAATTGGAGGTAAGGCAAATCGTGATTTATGCAACTTTCAGATATCACATGAATGAATTTTAATATAAATGAAATCATAAATTAATATTTAGAATATTTTGGGGCATCGTCAATCAAAACGTAACTTAGTGAGATTAATCATTTTTACACAAAATGATAAAAAATTAATATTTTTATCAGCTATACTAAGTAGATGTTACAAGTAACATGTTACAATTAAATTTTTTATCATTTTGTGTAACATTTTTCGGAGTAGATCGAAGAAGAGTTAACCCAGCACATCACATGACAAGTGTTCGGCCTAAGTTAGGGTTAGGTTAGGGTTGGGTTAGGGTTAGGGTATATTTAGGCCAGTTTGTTTTAATTCTGGTAAACAAAGGACGTCATTATATGCTTATCATGTGACCGTCGGTCACTGGGTTAACTGTTCTTCAAGTGTCCCAATTACCAGATGCCCATTCTACACTCAAAGAAAGCAAGGAAGGTATTGGTTGTGGGTTTTTATATGTATATTCTATCAAGAGTAATTATAATAATATTAATAATTATATTTTGAAAGTTTGATTAATTAATTTTTTATACCTTGAAATTTAACAGAACTTTCTAACTCTGCACATAATGTGCCGATGAGTTTGTCATCACCTAAATTCACCCATCCGCTCAATAAACTCATAAATTCAGATGGATTGATCTTTTCTCTTTTATTCATAGGATGAGCTATAATTGATTTCAATTTGTCAAGACTTACAAACTGAAAAGGTTCGTATCTTATTTGATAAATTGGCGCTGACATATCCCAAGGATCTACAAAATCAACTTTTATTAGCGTTGAATCATTATCCTGATCCTTTGAAAGAATTGGTTCATATAACATGGGAATGATAATAATATTATTATTAATAGACATGATTTTATCATTTTCTGGTAGAACGAAAATAACACCGTTATTTAAGGGCGATTTTGCAAAAGAATGGATCAATTCGGAAGAATCATGTTGGAATGATTGGTAAAAAGCTTTAACAAGGTGTTCATTAATAACACAAGATAAAAGACGAGATATAGTAGCAAAGTTTGCTCTTTGAATTGGGGATAAAGTCATTTTTCACGATTATCTTTGCATTGAATAAACCGTTTATTTATAGAAAGATATCAATAATGAATTGGTCATAGTAGAAAATAGTAAATATCAATAACTGATAGAGGAGTAGTAATAGAGATGTCAATAGGAAATAATCGTGTGATTTATGCATTGCTCCGGTGTTACTATCGGGTTGGGAGAGCGTCAGGTTATTGGGTGCCAATATAGATCAGGATAGTAAGCAATGAATAAAATAAAGGGGCGTAGGCTTCTTCTTAGTAAAGAATCTAGTCTGGAGATTGATCAAGGAGCGGATTATATAGATGCGTTGCAGATATGAAACAGAAATTATCTGCTCAAAATAGTTTTAAGAGATGCGTTCTGAGGTTTAAGGTATGCAAGATGAATGCGGATGGATGGATTAATCCCTTATTGACAATCAAAAGTGGGATTGATTTAAGGCGTGATGGAGGAATTAATTAGTTCAACAAAGGGTTAATAGGATGTAAACGTGAAGATTTATTCATGGATTTTATTAGAAAATCGTGAAGATGTGTTATGATGATAGATAACAAAGTTGATAGAACAAAGAAATTATAATAAATATATTTTTAGCAATTAATGCTAACAAGAAGTGTGGGAAATCGATACAGCAATAAACTAACTGGGCTTTATACTGGCTTCAATCTTTAAGTGTTTCAAATACAAAAGTCAAAGAAAAACGTTTGAGAGCAAAGTCTGAAGATTTTATTAAAGGTGAAAAAGCCAACCCTTAAATACATAATTGGTTTTACATAAATAATTTAAACTACTCTTTAGATGGGATATCTTTTCTTCTTCTAATTAATTCTATTTTAACACCACTTCCTTCTGCCACCAATAAACCCCTTCACGGATGACTAAAAGTATTATAATAATCAAATGTCTTAAGTTCATCTCTTTGACAAACAAACACAACTTATATGTGAATCAGATGATTCATGCATCTTATTAAGATTTGGCATAAGTAACCTTCTTGAATAAGGTTCTTGGTGATAATCATTGAGAGACAAAGAGACAATCATTAGTGTCTTCCCAAAACTATTTGACAGAGTTTTAGTATTTTCTTTTTTCAAAAGGGTCAAGAGGATGTTGATCCATGTGAGGTCGAATTAATAGTTACTGATCATTATTTGAATTGATGTCAGACTATATATATCCTATATATATTTTACACTTTGTAGAATATGTGTAGGATATGTGTAGTTGGTATACAAACATGTGTAAGATAATCTATATTTTCTCAAATACTTTGTATCTAATAAGTATAGAATAGATGTAAAATATATTAATTTTGACTTATGTTATCCTTATCAAAAGATTGGCATTGTTTACTTTATACATATTATAGTAGATTGCAACCACATGTTTTGTTTACTAATAAATATAGCACTACTCTATATGACAAGATCTCTATCTAACAAGTTATACATGAATGCTTATATAGTTAGGAAGAAAATTTTTTTATTAAGACATAGCTTTACAGTAGAGATATACAAATATTGTATTTGTTATATAATTTTTTAAATCTAGTACAGGTTATAATAATGTCTTTTTGTTTATTTTTTCTATTATTTTTCTTTTTTCTTTGTCAATATCTGTTTTCTTTTTTTTTGGTTTTTCTTTTTTGTATTAGTTTTTTTTCTTTATTAGTATTTTTATTTCTTGGTAGTACATTATACTTTTCCTCCTTTTTCATTTTGCTTTTTATAAAGAAGAAAAAATTTTAAAAAAAGGAATATGATTTTAACATGTCATTAATACCCAATTGGTAATATTAGAAAACAAGTTTCAAGTATAGTTTGAGATTCTAATATAGATAAATAGTTATATAGCAGATCACATCATATCGGCGAATTTGCGGAATTGGGCCTTGATATGAACCCCAAATTTTCATATAGTATATACAAAACGAACCCCAAATTTTAGTAACTAAAAAATTATACGTATAATAGATATATAATAATAATAACAATATAATTCATATTACATCAAT